GGACGGCGCGACTCGGCCTGGGCGGCGCGGGCAGCAAGGCGCGCGCTGTGCAGGGCACCAAAGCGCGACGCGCGGGCTGCAGCAGGGCACGACGCACGGGCAGCAAGGCGCGGCGCGCGAGCTGCAGGAGGGTGCGATGCACGGGCTGCAGTAGGGCGTGACGCGCGGGCTGCAGCAGGGCGCGACGCCTGGGGTAGCAGGGCGCGACGCGCGGGCTGCAGCAGGGCGCGATGCGCGGGGCAGCAGGGCGCGACGCGCTGGCTGCAGCAGGTCGCGACGCGCGGGGCAGACGTAGGGCGCGACGTGCGAGGCAGCAAGGCGCGACGCGCGAGCTGCAGCAGGGCGCGACGCGCAGGGCAGCAGGGCGCGAGCTGCAGCAGGACGCGGGGCAGGGCAGGGTGCGTGCGGGGCAGAGCAGGGCGTGCGCGGGGCAGCGCGACGCAAGGCAGGGCAGGGCGTGCGCGGGGCAGCGCGACGCAAGGCAGGGTAGGGCGTGCACAGGGCAGCACGACGCAAGGCAGGGCAGGGCAGGGCGCGCGCTAAGGCGCAGTGCAGTGCAGAGCGTGGGGTAACGCGGTAACCGTAGTCTATGACTAGATTATGGTGGGCCCGAAAAAAACGGTCCTATGGACCTACTGCTCCGAAACCATGTCAGAAACTAACGAGCATGTAAATGATTGCATCGACATCAAACCGAGTACAAGTATAACCCTAATTGGGTTGTACTCCGTATAGGCTACCCCACTACAGCCTACACAACACAAGTAGCATTATAGTTTGACATGGCACAGTTGAGTTGGGACCTGTGCAGTTTGGAGAGGGCAGCGGCGCCGTTGCAATGAACTAGTTAATCCATGGGTGTGTAAGTGATAGGCCGGTGATCATGTTTTGGGGGTTCAATTCACGAGTATTTGTGGTAGGTTATGACTGAAGGCACTTCAGGAGTTTCTTAGGTACCTTACAATGTCCCTCCCCCCCCCCCCCCCCCCCCCCCCCCCTTTTTCAGTTTGCGCCTTGGTCTGAATGTTGTATTGTTGCTTTGAATAGAAGCTCCGTCAGTTTATGTAAGTGTTTTGTACAGAAGCTCATTGATTCTCATACAGGTGTCCTCTGCTTTTATCATTTTGATTTTATTTCAAAGCTCCGTTTCTTTCTAACAGTCCTCAGAATCTTTGGGACTTTCCGTCTGGCGGATACTGATTCTTCTTGTTTTCGGCGCTGTACTGTACACCACCAAATCACAATCACCCGTCGTTCGTGCATTTTGTTGCCGTGCAACTTGCTGGTACACCCTCTATTCCGCCATTGTGGATCCGGTTATAGTTATATCGAGATGGGAAAAGCACGGTTAACGGTGATAAATAACGTTGAGATATGGTTCAATTAAGCAATTCGAAGATAACAATGCTTTTCACCTGCTCGGCACAGTTCAGTCTAGCGAGAAACAAGATGTACATTTCTGTTGGCCTGCAAGTGGAGAGTATCTTCTGATATGAGGACTGCCACGTAAGGTTAATTGGGTGGCTTGAAGCTGCTACGTAAATTCATGAGTGTCACCTCGCCCCGCAGATTTGTCGTCGACCGTTCATTTCTTCATTGAATGCCGACACCGTCCATTTCGTCCCACCCTTTCCAGTAGAATGCTTCCAGGGCTACCCAAATTGTTGAAGCGGCTGACATGGTGTTATGGAAGCGGAAGAGCAGGAGGTGTCCCTGGGTCTGCCCCCTCTCCTTCCTCAATTTACTCAACTCCGCCTTCCAACCCCCTCTCCCCTCTGCAGAAGTGTTTGTTGGGTTGCTTGTCGTATATCAACACTGCGAAGCAGAAATTGCCATATTGGGTGGCTTGCACTGATTTGGGGGCAGAACCTGGGCGCTCCGTTATCAGTGCAACTCTTTTTCTAATAAAAACAATAGAATCTTGATACCAATTCCGGGTCGTATTTTAGCTTGCCCCTGACTAGTCTGGGCAAATCGCACGATTTTCGTTGAAATATATGAGTAAATTACATGGAGCCTTCTCGATCACCAGCTCCTTCTCCCTACCTATTTTCCTGACTACATTCCTTTCTTCCTGGAACTGCCGAGACAACCTGAAGTCTGTAACTCAACAGCTCGCGCACAGAATTTCATAGACTATCACTACTGCAAAAACTGGGAGCTAGCATGCCGAAGAATATATCTCAGCGGACAAGCGAGTCCGCCCAGGGGAGCTCGCTGCCCGCGGGCAAAAACAAATATACCCCAGAAGGGCATGCATCCAGTCAGGGAGGCATCAAGTGAACCTGACTCTCCATAGATGCTTCAAAAACCCGTCCAGGGCGCGTATCTTTTGCTTTAGAGCTCGGAAATACGGCCTAACTTATGCTGGTAGCTAGATTCGCGAATATCGCCAGACAGCTCGCCAGGACATTGTGTGTCCTAGTTCAAACCTTCTGAAAGAAGTTGGACACTGAACTATAGTCGACCTTGCATTCGGATTTTACGTTAACGTTTATGCGATCGTGTGTTCTTCTGCGCACGCACGAAGAATCTGCGAGTCTCACGATCGTACTGAGGTTCATATAGCCTGGTTACCGAAACCGGATAAGGTGACGAACTGCACCGCGAAACCAGGTAGCCTACGAAACCTTAGCGCGACTTGGAAATTTGATAGTCGAATTTTGTTGTTCCATGCGCGACTCGGGCTTGTTGAAGCTGCTCCCCGACCACCAAAAGTCGAGATTGTCGACCACAGGACGACCGAAGTTCAGCTGGAGAAAGCTGAACCAAAAACATGAACTTTCAACACCCTTCAAAAGACACGCATCCTTATTGTACAAAACAAACATGAGCCGCAGGCAGAAGTTTGTTGGCAGAGCAGCAGAATCACGGTGGGTCGGGCAATTATGCTTATGAATTTTGTTGTCATCATAAGCAGTAGGGACTTTCCGGACTTTCTACCAATAGTATTTCTTAAAAATGACAGCACAAATCCATCTAGATGCTCAATCCTGCCTGCTCCAACGATGAGTGGGATGATGGCCCACTGCCTCAATCTTGTTTTGCTTTGTGGCTGCTTCTGTCTCCGCGTTTTGTCCTTCCACTGATTCGCCCCTTTGATTTCCCTCCCAGCCAAATTCGGCTTGCAAAACAGATTCGGTGAATTTGCACTGAACTGTGACTCCTCCGTGTGACCGACGGTCAATTCTCCGCTTGAGCTCCGCAATTTTCGTTATCATTTCGTAGGCAAAGTGACGAAGCACAGCCACGATCTCAGAACAGATCGACGAACAGCTCGACGATGGGTAACGATCAACACCAATATTTCCGTAACGCGACTATATCTTCCAAGATAACTTCCTCCCCCGTCCATTTCCGCATCTCCTCGTCTTTGTCAACCTCCTAACAGTGGTCCTCCCATCTCGGCTGCACTTGAACGGCTCTCCTTCGCTTTCCCCTCCACTCGTGCTTTTGATGAACGTCCTCTGCTCGACTCGAAATTGGAGGGCAAAAAATATCCTCCCTTCTTCCTTCCCTTCACTCAACATTCCGCTTTGGGGGAAGAATGCCTGCCGCTGCGCGGTCCTTTTTCTGCTGGTGGTCAAACCAACGGCGATCAGTGCTCTTTTCAATCCTCATTGGCACGCACATACAATCCTCATTGTACACTAACAGGCCACAATTGACAACTCCTTGCCATCCCACCATTCGTCTTCTCTCTTGGGCTTCCCCATCCCATACTCAAGTTGAGCACTATCAGATTCTGCAAGGACGTGATTCACCGGGCAGGAGTAGCTGTAATGTGTAATCGTCGTTCGTTTTTCCAGTTGGTAGGCGACGGCTGGAATCCGTAATCAAGTAGCTGGCTAGAATTGAACTTCGACAATTTACGTGTACGAGTGACCGCCATTCTTAGAGTTACGTAAACCTTTCATGATCTCCGCGGCTATTTCATGCTTAGTTCCAGCTGTCTCGTCCAACGAGTTGCTCAGTTAGTCACTACGACGCAACCTTTGATTCGCTATTCTACACACTCTCTCATCGCGCTCGCTCGTGCTCGCGCTCGTGACCAGATTTTTCAATTAGCCTCACCAGAGCCGACTCGGCTCTCTACTGGTAGTCCTGAGACATCTCGAAACCCGACTCGGTTGTCAATCAGGAGGAACCAGCCCATTACTGGATTCGATGACGGCGTGATGGCCGAGCGCCATAATAGTAGCACTAACAATGTGTCAGACGAGAATCGAATCATGCCATTGGACGACGGACTACGTCAACGTCAACGTCTAGAAAGTGAGCTTCATCAGGCGGAACGACGGACGCCGTTATTGTTGCCGCTGCTACAAATCCCGGACGATGGCGTCGCGCCTTCAGCGTCGGCAGCGCCGCGTCACGCGGCGGACCAGCATCTACTAGAACAGCGGAGTCGCGAGATTGACGGTGGTACTGCTCATCAGGAACTCAGAAATCTCGACGACCGTTCACGCTTCATGTATAATGATCCGTTACCGGCGGCGCAAAATGCGCCGGATCATGGTGCTCAGCCGTGGTTGGGTGATGATCATCAGCGATTTGTAGAAGGGCGCCGCTGGGAGACGACCGGGACCGTAAGATCCATGATGATTGGTGCAGCGGACGGCGGTGACGATCAGCGTCATCTGATCCGCCTTGGAACTGATCAAGCCCACGACAGTCGCGAAAGCCGCGAAGATCGCAACAGTTGCGGCGACAATCGTCATAATTCCTCGCTAAAGAGTCGTGAGAGTCAACAACAACCCAATGATGCGACTCCCAGGTCGCCACCTTTCGCGCCACGGTCTAGCGGAATGCAACAAACTTGGCGCGCCTCCGCAGCCGGCGGAGACGCGGGCGCGGTTTTCACGCGAAATCCCCTGCATTTTGTTCAGCAGGCCGTCGCGCCGCCCGCCGCGATTCTCGGTGCGTCTCCCGCCACAATACCCGCTCCAATGCCGATTTCCACCGCTCAGGCCGCAGCCGCGGCCGGGTTTCGCACGGAAATGGCTCCCGCGGCGCCGTTTTCGTCGCCGGGTATCACGGCGGGCGTCGAGCCCGTGCCGTTTTCGTCTCTTGCCGCGTCGTCAGCACTGTGGAGCGCATTGGCGCAACAGCTCTCGTCGGCGCAACAGATCTTGTCGGCCCAGCAGCGGCAAATGTCGGCGGAACAACTGCTCACGTCGGCGGAACAGCGCTCGGCGGCGGAGCAGTTTCGGATGTCGTCCGCCATCGGCACAACTTCCGCTAGGAGAGGCGGCGGCGGCGGCGCCGGTGGCGGAGGCGGCGGAGACGGCGGCGGTCGCGTTGGCGACGACGCGACATCTCAGGTAGTCGCAGCGCTGCGACCGCCGCCCAGCGGGCGACCGCCGGACGACTCCGGCGAACCGTCGCTTGAGCTGAGCGACTGGCTTACGCGAATCACTCGAATCCCTGACCCTTTGGGTGGTCTGCGTAGCGGTAAGCCGGTTACCAGGCAAAGCCAGCATGATTATGCCGCCCGTGCCGTTACCACTGGTACTGGAACTGCCATATCTGCTGGCGTGGTTGATGCGAGATTGCCCAGTGGACGAAGCGCGTCACACGCCGACGGTGGCGGAAACGTACGGTTAAGCGGCGGAAACTGGCTGGGGGGGGAGAGCGGAAGCGGAACGAGAAGTGCTGCGGAAGGCGCAAGGGGCAGGGACGAAGGAGTTTTGTTCCCCCAATGGGAGCGAATGAACGACGCGCTTGCCTGGGGGTTTGGGTTCCGCGGCGGGAGTTTACGCGCGTCACCCACCGAGCGCGCAACGCCCCGCGGCGGGAAGGGGGACGGCGCGTCAGCGAAGTTTTTCTCGTCTCCGCGTGAGCCCCGCACCGCACAGGGGGACGCAGTGAACGCGGGCGGGTTTATCACGGGCGGCGGCGGAAGCGTGGGTGGCGCGGGTTTAGCGTGGGGTGCGGCGGTCGGCGGTTTCCGCCTGCATGGCGCAAGCGCGAGCGCGAGCGCGAGCGTGAGCGCGAGCGTGGGCGGAGAGAGCGCGGAGGTGATGGAACGAAGCCGCAGCGGCAGATCAACGGATGGGAGCGAACGACAGGTGCGGCTTGATAGTGTTACAGCAGCGGCGACAACGAGAGAAACACAGACAGCTAGGATCATGGCCAGACCGAAATCTACTCCGGCTCCTAGACCCGCACGGGAAGGATTCGCGGAGCTGCTTGATGCGTCAGGAACGCCACGGCGCGGAGGAGTGGCGAAAGCAGAGTCCTTGGGGATTCAAGAGGGGTTTGCGGGGTTTGGAGGTGGTGGAGAATCGTTTGAAGGGCGTGTTCCAACAGCGACCCTAGAACCAACTTCCCCTGCTGTTCAATTCGCTGCTGCAGGGGCTGCGGCTGCTGCCGCAGCTGCTGCTGCTGACGCTGCTGCTGCTGCTGACGCTGCTGCTGCTGCTGACGCTGCTGCTGCTGCTGCTGCTGCTGCTGCTGCTGCTGCTGCTGCTGATGCCGCTGCTGTTACCAGCGCTGATCCCGTACCTCTTTCCGCAGCAGGCTCAGACTCGCTTGGTTCGGCAGAGGTTCGGTCACCACCCGGCCTCGCCCAGCAGCGGTTGTTCAGCCTTGGCGGGCCTTCCCTGTCCCCACTGCTTGACTCAACTGCCTGGCCACTTGCAGGCGCGGCGGAGAACCGACCCTGGATCCGAGGTTCGGGGCCGCACGAGTGCAAGGTTTGCCACATGCGGTTTCCAACCCTGCATGCACTGGGCGGGCACCAAAACGGGCACAGGGAATTACGGCTGCAGCGACAGAAGGAAAAGGCGGCAAAAGCAGCGGCCGCTGCTGCTGGTGCTGGTACTGCTGGTGGGAAGGGAGGTGGGGAGAGGAAGAGCAGGGCAAGGAAGCAGCAGAGCGACAGTGTTGCTGCTGTAGCACCAAGGCAGGGAGACGGTAAAGCCACAATGACCGCTGACTCGACACAGAAGTCACCTGGGAAGCAGCAGGGCAGCAGAGGCGTTGCTGCTGCTGCTGCTGCTGCTGCTGCTGCTGCTGCTGCTGCTGTAGTGGCGAGGCAGGATAAGTCTGCATCCGTATCACAGAAGGAAGCAGAGGGAGGGGGAAGGGGTGGAGGAGGATCAAGAAAACAGCAAGACACGGGAGGGCGGCAAGACGCAGCAGGCCAGCAAGATCAAATGAGAGATCCACCTGAGAACCAAGACTCTCTGCTCAGGCAAGACACCACCCCGCGGAACCAAGGCACGCGGCATAAGAAAGGCACGCCGCAGGAGCAAGAGGTTTCTCGGAGGGAGCGAGAAACGTTCAAGAGCAGGGAGGGAATGGAGGGAAGGGAGGAGGAGGGTGTGCGTACGGATGCTGGTAGTGTTGGTGCTGGTGCTGGTGGTGCTGGTGCTGGCGGTGGTGACAGTGGTGGTGGCAGTGTTAGCAAGGGAAGGACCGCGGCCAGTGTCACTGTTCAATGCGATGTTGGCACTGCAGGCCCTGCTGCCGTACCATGGGCGGCACAGTCACACACGTTACAATCACGCATGTTACGAGGAGGCAGCAGCCTGGGCACAGCGTCCCTCCCTTTCACCGTCATTCCACAGCCGGTTACCGTTACAATGGGCGAGGTGAAACCCGAGCCAGTAGATGCTGCCCATCCGACCGTTGGATGGAGGGGACGAGACATGGGAAGCGATCCTGGCCGTGCAATGGGAGAGGGAGGAGAGGGTGAGGGGAGTGTTCCGCAGTGGGAGGAGCGGTTGGGATGTAGACAAGATACGCTGACCAGGAGTGTGTTGGAGAGTATTTTTGGTGGGCTGACCTCCCGGTCTCCCCCTGCTGGTGACTTCGAGCGGCTGCAACAAGAACCGGAGCAACAACACCAGCAGCTGCAGCAGCAGCAGCAGCAGCAGCAGAACGAACAACACGAGCAGATTCGGCAGCAGCAGCACCCCCGCCACCACCAAAACCAGGAGCAGCAGCAGCCACAACAGCAGGAGCAACTGATGCAGCAGGAGAATGAGACTCACCGTCGGGAGGAGTTTCTGCTAGCAGCAGCAGGACGAGGAGGAGGAGGGGGAGGAGGAGGAGGAGGAGGAGGAGGAGGAGGAGGAGGAGGAGGAGGAGGAGGAGGAGGAGGAGGAGGAGGAGGAGGAGGAGTAGGAGGAGGAGGAGGAGGAGGAGGAGGAGGAGGAGGAGGAGGAGGAGGAGGAGGAGGAGGAGGAGGAGGAGGAGGGGGAGGAGGAGGGGGAGAAGGAGGAGGAAGAGGGAGAGGAGAGGGGACAGGAAGAGGAGGAGGAGCAGGAGGAGCTGCAGAAGAAACGAGCCTGCCGGAAACTTCTGGAGGACACGCCACAGAACACCCAGAGCATCCAGGGCACTCGGTGTACCCAGGCCAGCCAGGGCAGCAGCACGGCCAGCACTTCAAGAATCCCAGGCAGCACTTTGCTCCTTGTTCAGAGCAGGGAGGCGCATCCCCCTTGCCTGTGCCTTCTGGAGGGGCCCTGCCAGTGCTGCTCCCAGAGCAGCATCCTCGTTATAGGGATGCTGCTGCATCGCAGCTAAGGCCGAAACGAGAAGCTTGTGAGGAAGGAGCAGCAGGAGGGGAGGAAGTTGCGTCTGGGGATGCGAGGAGGAGAAGGCTTTCCATGGATCGCGGTTTTGTGTCACCCAGGATTGCAGACCGTGCGACTTATAATGTGACTCAAAGCGCAACTCACCGCGCAATCCAAATCGCGACTCACAGCGCGATTCAAATCGCAACTCACAGCGCAATTCAGAGCCTGACTCGCAGCGCAATTCAAAGCATGACTTCCAACGCGACTCGCAGTGCGACTCACAGCACGTCCTCTCACAAGGCATTTGAATCTCCTCCTTCAAAGGGACCCTCGGAAATGTTTTTGGATCCTCCTGAGCCTTCCAGATTGTCTCTACAAGCACCCGCCCCAGTTTCAGCACCAGCAGCAGTCTCAGCATCAGCACCAGCATCAGCACCAGCAGCAGCATCAGGCCCCCAGCAAATGGCAGGCCCCCAGCAAATGGCAGGCCCCCAGCAAATGGCAGGCCCCCAGCAAATGGCAGGCCCCTGCGCTACAGGATCACAGTGGTTCCCCACCTTCCAGGCGACTGTGTCCAAGTCATCAGCACACTACGCAGTCCTCTCAAAATGGGCAGCAGAATCTAGTGACGGGAGAGAGCCCAACTGGGCGGGAGCAGCAGGATCCTCTCGAGAGAATCAGCCACAGCAACGGCTGGCAGACGTCTCACCTGAAGGAGCAGGGCCAGATTGGATGCGCCGAGCTGCCGCCTCCTCCGTCTCAGCTCTTGAAGCACCCCCGGAAAGACCATTTCATCTCGCACAAAGACCGCAAAAGCGTTTGGGAGAGGACTCATCGGATGGAGGGGGTCCGAGGTGGATGCGCCCGTCTGCTGGGTCGTCCTCTTCGGCTTTAACATCAGATTCCACCCCCAGCCAGCCGGCCCGTGCTGCTGAGAGCTCCATTGCAGCTCTGCTGTCGTCTCAGGGTCGGGGAGAGGTTCGGGGAGAGGGTGATTGGATTGCTGGTGGTTCGGTTGGTGGTGCCGTGGGGCGGTTGGAAGGGCAGTGGCAGCAGATTCAAGGGTACCAGGTGCAGCAGCAGTTGAAGCAGCAGCAGCAGCAGCAGCAGCGTCTAGCAGGGGAGATGCAGCAGCAGCATTCAGCACAGCTGCAGATAGCACAGCAGCAGATAGCACAGCAGCAGATACAGCATCACCAGCACCAAGAGACTGTTCGCCTGGCAACGCCAGAAAGGAACCAGCCCACAGCAGAAACCGCATATCCCCCGTTTAAGCTGTCTCCGCGAGAGATGCACGAGTTTGTACACTTGGGCGAACACCACAGCTATGCTCGCAGGGAGAATGAGCAGCTTCGCTATAAGACTCTCCAGCAACAGCAACCAGATCGAGGATTACGAATAGATATGCAGCAGCAAAAGCAACAGACCACTGTAGAGGAGAGTGAACAGGTGGAGAGAAGCCATAGTGCTGCAAAAGATCCAGTAGCAACAGAGCCTCTGAACAGAGAGGATGCAGTAGCTGATCCTGAAGCAGGTGGCAGGTTAGATTTGAGATTGTCCCTGTGACAGCACAGGAAAAATTTTGTAGTTCCTGCTTTGGTAGACATTCTCCTGTGAGCAGCACAGGAGAGCTTTTGGAGTTGTAACTGTACTGATTTGACATCCAGATGATATGCGTTATGAATGGACTGGCAGAGTGCGCAGAATGTTGAATAAAGAGAATACTGAAGTACTGAATTGACGTTAAAAGGTGTAAGGATTTTTCTCGATATTCCTTAGCGCGCCCTGCAACATCGCGTACAGCAGCAGCCGTTGTTCGCCCGTTACTGCTAACGGGGCTTCGCCGACTTCGCGCGCACTGTTTCACCAAACCTCGCACTGCTGGCCTAGCCGTGTCGGCCTACGCTTCGGGACTAGCCCGAGCCTCACTTCCAGCGTAGCACTAGCTAGCTCGCACGCACCGCGTTACCGTTTGCATGTTTCGCATATAAATGTTTGCTCATGCCTTCGCTCACATTTTGTACTCGTTTTGACACCTTAGTGCAATTCTCGCTACTTCGATTCATTGCACCCGTAACACTTGGTATTCAGAGCCTCTTTCTCTTCGGACCGCGCATCTCCGCACCCCAGGAAATCCATTTTTATTTTTATTTTCACTCGAAGGGACTCACGCACCTTAGCACCTAGGAGTTGCTGTCCTCGCGTTCTCTCGTAAACGCGTGCAGCCACGACTGCGCCTAGACTAAGACGAGCCGACGCCATTCGGAATGGCCGAACATATCGACGTCACTAGCCTCACGCAGGTTTGCATGGATGAGCTGCTGCGACAACTGCACGAAAACTCCGAAGAAATCGCGGCATTAACGGCGGAACGTACCTCCCTGCAAAATGACCTCGCACAAACACAATCCCAAGCACCTCGCACTCCAAATTCAGCCCGCACCACAGGCATCGCAACACGGAAGTGTGGGGCAACCCGCGAGCGCCGCAAGTGATGGCGTCGTCCGCCATGACGGAGACGACAACCACGGCACGACACACCCCGATGCGACGAATGCGGCCAGGAATCAGCCTCGATTCACGATTTCAGTGCCGGCCGGCGAATCAGCTTTACAGTACCGTCGCCAATGTCGCTGAAGCCGCAGCGTCCGCCATGCTTTGACCTGAGACAGCGGGGTGGTCCTACCGTTCAGGCGTGGCTTTTCACGTTGAACGTCTTCTTTGACGCGAACTACGTCTCGGAGGATACGGCGAAGATTCGTTACGCCGTGTCGTTGCTGCGAGGACCTGCCATGGACTGGTGGCGTGTCATCGTCACGAAGCCGGTGGACTACGCGACTCTACCGGCACGGGAAGGACAAACCGGACCCTGGGCGCCGTCGTATTTCGTGGAAGTGCCCCAGTATCGCACGTGGGACGCATGGTGCGCAGGTCTGCGCGCTCGGTTTGAGCCAATCGCGGCTTCGATCGCAGCGCGACAGAAGCTCTGCACTTGGCGCCAACTCGGTTCCGTCCAGAACTACACGAGCGGGTTTCTAGCGCTATGCGAGCAAGTGGGATACATGCACGAGAGCGAACGCATCGACCGCTACATCGGCGGCCTGCAACAAGACATCGCTTAGGAAATCCAGCTTCGCGGCGTCACCGATTTCCAGGAGATTCTCGCCATGGCGGAGAAACTCGATTTCTTCCGCCGACCGAGGCCGGGGTCCTACGGAGGAAACAACTGGGGACATCAGTCTCGTGGGACGAACGAGGGCACTACGATACGTGCCGTCGCCGCGAATGCCGCTGCCGCACCGTTCAAAGGGTGCTGCTTCGCGTGCAAACGGCCGGGACACCGCAAGAGCGAATGCCCGGAAAACGCTAAGGGAAAGGGGGAAGCCGAGCAGCAGAAAGAGACCAAGCAGCAGGGAAACGCTAGGAGTCAGTAGCAGACGGGCCCTCTACTGACAGGTCACGCCGCTCGCCTGACCCAACCAACCCTCACTAAGTGATTGTGCCGGTTCACGCAATCGACCACACCCGGCAGAATAAGGAGGGTACTACAGTAGACAGCCCCATACTGCTTAGTGGGAAAATTGGGACAGACTTGGTTAAAATCCTTAGAGGGAGGGGCCAGCCACATCCTTATGAACACTGCCACAGCACAAAAACTGCGACAGTCACTGAACATATGTTTACCTGAGATCGACGCAAGACTGGTCGACGGCACGCCACTGGCGATACGGGAACGTGTGGACCGGGTTTGGATTCGATGCGGGGGTAACTTCACGTTTAGCCAGGAAATGCTCGCAACGACCCTCGACGGAACCGACATTTTACTCAGCCGTGATTGGCTGCGACGACACAACCCGCGAATCGACTGGTCGACGGGTGACTGCACCGTGCGAGTGAACAGTAACAACATCGCCTTACCTCGCTGGGGCTCGCCTGAGTCTTCGTCGGTACGTGTCAATGCGATCACGATGAAACGCGCCGTAGCGGCAGGAGCTGACGTGTACGCGGTTGACATACTGGAAGCCGAGGCAGCAGAAAAAGGGGGGGATTTACAGAAACTGCTGACCGACATACCGGGTGATCTGGCAGCACTGTTGAAGCAGTACAGTGACATTTTCCCGGACGACCTACCGACGGGACTGCCACCTCAGCGACCGCACGACCACAGGATAGAACTAGAACCGAGAGCACATCCAACAGTACAGCGAAAGATCCGAGTGACCTAGCCCGAATTGGACGAACTGAGGAAGCAGCTGGATTACCTGCTCAAGAAAGAGTTCATTCGCCCTAGTTCGTCGCCCTTCGCTGAGAAAACTAGAACGAGAATGAATAAACTATGAAACGGTTGGGTACAAGTACTAACCCTAATTGAGTTGTACCCCTTATGGGCTACCCCACTACAGCCTACACAAATGTATAAGCTATAATGTTCCGACACACCCCCATAGGCAAAGTGGGGGAGAACAAGGGGTCACAAGACCAGTCAAGCAAAGCAAATCAAGCTCAGGGTGGATCACAAAGTCACCACACATTCCGAGCACAGGTTCAAGGCCACAAAGCCTGTTCACATGCAGGAGTACATATATATGAAAGGCTAGACAAGCAAGAGCAGGTGTATATATATATATGTAACAGTACAAACAAGGTCAAGAGGTGAGCAAGTGAGGCAAGGCAGGCTCAAGACCCAGCTGGGTAGAGAAGCGCTGATGATCACAAGGCGCAAGCACCTTGGTGAAGATATCAGCAGTGTTGGCCTCAGAGGCCACGTACACAAGACGCAGCTGACCACGCTGCTGCAACTCACGAGCAAGGAAGTAGCGAAGAGCAATGTGCTTCGTTCTGTGCTCCAGTCTGTGCTCCCGACACAAGGCCAGCATGGCCTTATTGTCTACGTACAGCACTGGAGAAGAAAGAGGCGGCTCTTCGAGGTCAGTCAGCAGGTAGGTGAGCCAGCGAAGCTCCTGTGCAGCCATGGCTCCTGCGTGGATCTCAGCCTCACAAATGGAGCCGAGAACAGAAGACGAGCGAGTAGCCCGCCACGAAACAGAGCCGGAACCAAGGCTGAAGGTGTAACCCTGTGACGACCGCTGCGTAGCCTGGTCGTCAGCCCAAGAAGCGTCTGCGTGCCCAGTGAGGACCACTGGACTGCACACTCCAAGCACAAGCCCCATGGCCGACGTACTGCACAAGTAGCGCAACACCCTCTTCGTTGCAGCCATGTGCTCCGGTTTGTGTCTCCCAGGAGCAACATAGCGTGCGAGAATGCTAAGAGGGTATGCAAGGTCTGGTCGTGTGCAGGTCATCAGGTACATGAGGCAGCCAACAAGCTCTGGGTACGGGCGAGTCGACTCTACGAACTCATCCGAAGGCAGAGCTGAGAGCGAGTGGCGAGTAGACAGAGGAGTGGCCTGGTGTGAGGAGTACGTGAAGCTGAAGCGCTGAAGGACCTGCTGCACCATGTGTGACTAAGTCAGGGTAATGGTGCGGCGTGCTCTGTCCCGGGTGATCTGCAAGCCAAGGTAGCTGCGCAGTTCACCCAGGTCTGTGCACGTGTGTCTCTTCTGCAGCTCGGACTACACGTGGGCGACTCCAGTAGTGTCCGCTGTGGCAAAGACCAAGTCGTCGAAGAAGTGTCTGTGCGCAAAAACAGCGACGGGTCGGCAGTAGAGGGAGCAAACCCAAGAGACGCAAGTGTAGTCCTCAGTGTGTCGTGCCACTCATGCGGTGCTTGGCAGAGACCGTAGACTGGCCGCCGGAGGCTCCACTGGGTGCCAGGAGGAAAAGACTTAGTGAAGCCAGGTGGGCGACGCAGCCAGGTCTCCTCGTGCAGGCTGCCCTGCAAGAAAGCAGTGCTGAAGTCAAGGAGAGTGTAGCTCGTAGTCACGGTGAGCAGCT